TCCTAGAGTACGTTGAATCCCTATCACATCTACCCAGTACCACCCTCGTGAAGGTCTGCTGAACTTTTTCAATTTTTTCCTTGAAGTTTCCTCGTATGCGGACTCCAGATCTGCGACCCATATTCCAGTATGGGTATGACATAGGCTTTATAGAGTCTCAAAAATGTTTTTGGATCATTGGACCTAACATTTCTAAAAATTGCAGAAAGAGCGCGGAAAGCTTTCCTAACAACGGTGGCTATGTGGCACTCAGAATCCAGTTTTGTGTTCACGCAAAATCCAAGATCGCTCACTTCATCCAACGTTTTCAATGTAATGTCTCGGAAAACATGGCTTTTCCAAGATGAAGCACCGATGTCTTTTCGAGATTGAGTGGTATATCCGAAGCTGCAGCCCACTCCATCATCTTGTCGATGGACTGAGTTAGAGCTTGATGCACACAATCATGATTTTCTTCAGAATAGACTCCATACACCTCTATATCGTAAGCGTACATATAGACTTTTACAGCGGGATGTACTGCAAGACGAGTCGGTAAGTCGTGGGTATAGACCAAAAATAATAAAGGAGGCAGAACTCCTCCTTGTGGGACGCCACTTGTTTATAGGTAACGCTTCGAAAAAGAGTTACCAACTCTTACGCACATATGTCTTTCGCTAAGGTAGCAGCTGATCCAGTTAAGGATGGGCCCGCAGACCCCAAGGTAGCGTAGTTTGGAGAGAAGCTTTGCGTGATTCACTTTATCAAAGGTTTTCGATAAATCGAAGTAAATTATGTCTTCACCGTTACCTTTGTTTATAGCCATACTCCAATCAAAAACACAGGCTGCCATCTGGGTGCAAGTAGATGCCCCCATGACAAAACCATGTTGTTCGATTGGGATCAACCTGTTTCTCTCGAGATATTGAAAGAGTTTATCACAGGTATAAGTTTCTCCAAACACTTATCTGCCGAAGAATTTATACTTATAGGCCGGAAGGAAGAGACCAAGTCTGGATTGGCAACCTTAGTATTGGCCGTTATGATAGACTCTTTCCAAGCGTTAGGAACTTCGTCAAACATTAGCAAAGCGTTCATTACCATGCATGGTGGTTTGCACAAAGATGCGGCACACTTGCGATAAACAATTTGGGGAATGCCATCGAATGGCAGTGTCGTTGAGATTTTCAGAGACATTGGAGCTCTATACACTTCTTGGATAGTTATAGTGACCTGGGAGAAAGGACTAAGGAGAGTATGCTCAAAATCCTCTACACAATCAATCCCCGTCTGAGTGTTATAGACCGACTTGAAAAATGTAGCAAGGGCCTCAGCTTTTTGATTGTCAGTTATACAATGTCCACCAGTATAGTCACGGAGTACTGGGATTCTTGCTTTCGGCCTCATTCGGTGCTTGAAAATGGAGAAGAAAGTTCCCTCGTGTTAATTAGTTAAGTTTCTCCTTTCCCTAGTTGCTAGAAATCTCTTTAGATGGCGGTCCAGTTCAATACAGATTCTCGTGTAACGCAAGCACGTCAAAGGAGAAGCTCGTATAGCACTGAAGAGACGCGCCTTCTGTGCCATCAAATTGCTTATATGCCTTGGATAACGTATTCTGGGTGTATTTTACAGCTGAAAGCGGCACACACGAAGCAAATCCTGTATACAAAATACGACAGAAGCGTTTGTAAAGATCATCAACAGAGGCGTATCCTTCAAAAGCTTCCCACCAATCAATTGAAAAGAAATATTGCTGAAGTGAATTGAAGTCAGCTTTTGCAAAGTTTGGCAATGGGAGCGGTTCGTGCGTCTTAACCGAAAAGCAAATATTGAAAGCATATACGGAGTGGTCAGAAGCCGTAATCGGTGGCAGCACATATAGATTGTCTATTATTGGAGCGTTCGCCAGTACCAGATCAAGAATCGAGTAGCCACGTGTAGGAATGCTGACATACTGTACCAATTCACTACATTTGAACAGTTCAGGAAATTTCGAGGATTTAGGATTCTTAGATTTTTCAGAAAGCCAGTCTATATCAAGATTTAAATCTCCGATCACAATCAGACGCTTATCTGAAAGGAAAAGCTCTATCAAAGAATCAATTAATTCGTCATCTTCTTCCGGACTACAGTTGGGCGGGCGATATATCAAAATCACTCTAAACATCAGTGCGGATGCTGCATCCAATCCTTCTAAGCAAAGGAGTTCCTACTTGAGGCAAGGAGTGGAGACAGCTACCGACCAATGTTTTCATTGGCAAGACAGCACACTCCACCACCTCTGCGTCCTCTACGATCAACTCGGTAAACGCTATAAGGGCGGTCACAAACAATTTCCGCATCAGATATTTCCGAAGACAACCAGGTCTCAGTAATGAAAACCAGGTCAGGGTTGTTCGTATCTAAAAAGAAATGGAGGTGGTGTAGTTTATTAGACAAACTTCTGGAGTTAAAAAGAAAACATTTTTGCCAGGAGGGGGTACCATGCCGAATCAGACGTTTCGAGACGTTCTCGATTTGGGAAGTTCATCGGCACGTCTTAACTCGCCACGGTACACCACCCATACCCTACTATTCAGCTGTCTTTTTCGCTCTCTACACTCCTACCGCAATCGAAACTCATGTTCGCGCTCTTCCGGAGTTAAGCTCTCTCGTATATAAACATTAGATAACCCGGAATTGCGCAGGCGAGCGATAGCTATTAGAGAGAGCACTGGCCCAATGACTTTTAGAAAGTAAAACCAGCTTGATCAACCGTGGGCGAGAGTCACCAGGTCTCCCCATACGGTATACCTCCACAGGCCTGCACTCAACTCCAAAAACATCCAAAACTTCAGTTACTTATCTTCAACCTCTTTTTGCCTGCGTGAAGCCGAAGCGTCGGACGCGGACTCTGGAATGCCGAAGACGACCCAACTTCGACATCGTTTGTCCGCCTCCACAGCATCGGCAATTGTTTGCGGCCGTTTAGACACCAGAGCATTAATATACTTGGCCATGACCGGATCTTTGAGCTCTTCATTTCACTCTATCATTGCACTAACGATTTGACTCATGGACATACAAGCGATATCAGAATCGGACGGCCCAATATCTACTGAACTGTTGCAGGCAGTGTTTTTGACACTGCTACCAACATTCTGACCTGCGCGAGTTCGATTCTTTGACATTGCTCAAATGACCACAAATCGGCGAAGAAAAGAAAAAGAAGAGGAAGTCCTTGTGTAAGAGATGTGATGGAAGAAATACTGCGCGTAACACTAAAAAAATTCATGAACAGGAACACCTGACGATAGGCATTGCCCATCAGCAGGTTGAGGAGGGACAGATTTCCTAGAATGAACCATAATTTGCAAAACTCAGCATTTCTTCAGCTATTTCACAAATTTTGTGGAAATGTAGTAGGTAATATATCAACATTAAATTCTTGCAGACACAGCATATCCAAACGTAACGCAAGACATGATTGCTCAAACAAAGCAGAAATTTCGTGGAAACAAATATTCTACTGAAGTGGTCGTTAAGGTTTAGAGAATCCCGATACTAGCTAAACTTCGGCAATCTCAGAGGATAAGAAACAGTCTAACACCGAGTGGAAGGAAGCATCGTAGATGTGGAAGAGTGTAGGGAGGTTGGAAGAAACAGGTCTACTCCACGATTAAAAGCAAAATAGGACAACGAAAGATTAAGCCTAGAGAATGTGCCGAAAACCAATAAAGGTAATTTTAAAGAGAAAAGAGTTGCATGAAAACGAGGAACGGGCAAATTGACAAAAAGGTATAGGTAAGTACGGAAGCAGTCATGCCCACGCCTAGGCTGGGGCCATTGAGCCGAATAATGCTACCCCTCGATATCGTAGATGAAAGCAGTCATAGCAGTGAAGGAATAGGAGAAGTCGACTCGAGGTTATGCGTCCCTTTGAGGTGAGGGCCTGCATGAAAACAAAAACAAAGACTGAAAAGAAGTTACCGAATCTTTCTGTTAGAAATTAGTGGCCGAAATTATATTTTGAGAAAAATCACGTACACTTCTACACTAATTTTGCCAAGTGGCCGGTGACCGCTCAGTAAAGTTACTCACAAAGGCGAATATCAAGGTATAAACCTTGTCTATTGCGTTGAATTTCTTGCAGCACCACAGCTCAGAATGAAGATGCTTTAGAAAGATATGAGTTTTGGATTTTTTGACTTCAGCAGATTACTCCTACTACTTGATAAAGATCATAAGAGGTGGACGTAGTGTAATGTTGAGAAATACAGGACTAGAGCGCTTCAACGTACAGCCATAGCAAGGTTCCGACATAAATTCTTACAATACCCTCAAAATTTCACTGGTGTTAGCAGATCCGTCAAGCCTGAAGTACAAGGTGAGATAGTACGGAAAACTTATGTCTACAGTAGCAGCAAAACTTGTATCGTTGAGTTGTGCACACGTAAGACGGTTAAAAACACCGTTTTTTCCGCTGCAGTTCAATGCAATACTACAGATTACTTCAGTTGTAGCTGCAATCGAGAGCGCTACTGAGGACATAGCACTCATTGTTTGGGAAAATGTATGGAGTCATTGAACGAATATTCAAGTTTAATGATGTGCTCGCGCAACAGCTGCAAAGTCGCCGCAGACCGATTTAGTGGTCCACGAAACCTACACTAGGTTTGGAACAAGCCCATAGAGCAGGAGGCGAGATCAAGGCCATTCCTTGAACGCAATAAGTCTGAAGGGCTGATAAAAAACATTTAAAAACATTGAAAAAATAAAATGTGAAGGCAGTGTATTTTCTGCTGCTATTAAGTGTAACCTTACGTAGCGAAGGTTCGGGTATGGTGTTGTTGCTCTCAGGTCTCGCATTCTGCTCTTAGTCACAGTCTTCCTCGCTTTCTGGAAAAGGAATGCATGATCTGGCACTTTGTGAGAAAACTGTCCATCCTTCTCCTTTTCTTTTGTCGGAGAAAGTAAACCGCCATTTGCATATTTCAAGGGCATTGCTGCTGTCATGCTGCCATAACATTTTTCGATAATAGGATCCCAGCAACCCTGAAGAAGGTTTCGAATACCTTTATGTGGACGCAGTTGAAGAAGAAGCTCTCAAAGATCAAATCGTCTACGAAAGAATGTCTAATGGTTTGCTGAGGTTGAAAGCCGTCATAGGAAAACCGGTGTGTTGAATAATATTGGTGACGTTTCTACGCACAATAATTACTTTTATTTTGATTTTCTAATCTCAAACTGAGCTGTGAGGTTTTCAACCCCTACTATTGCTGTACATATTATTATTCAATTTTTCAACTGTGTAGTTTTATAGAATGAGAATATTGGCGTAGAGAATCTGCAAGGTTCGGGAATGATAGCTGGTGAAACTTCTGCAGCCTACGATGAAGTGCCAACATACTGCCTTGTCACTGGCCGTACGGTTGGTATAGGTGCTTATACTGCTCGCCTAGCCCATCGCATCGTACAAGTTCGTCCTAGTTTCTCTTTATTGAAGTTCATTCCATCTACGACTTTCTTTGTACACTGAAGCTTGTTAAGACACGCTCATCCCACCTCATTCTCACTGGTGCTCCTGCCCTAAATACGTTATTGGGAAAGGAGGTTGTCTTGTCCTTTGGTATCTTTTGAGTAGTGCCAATTAATTCGACGTTCCAGATTTACACCTCTAACAACCAACTGGGAGGCATCCAAATTATGTTTAAGAATGGAGTCACTCATGCTGTTGTTAACGACGATTTCGAAGGGATTTGCAAAATAGTACAGTGGATGAGTTATCTACCTGACGAAGTAAGTGGGTGACCCAAAAAAGCTTTCAAACTTTTTTCCGTAACGTTCTTTTGCTTAGATATCATCGTTTCCTTTTCGCCGTTATATTGGTTTTGACTCGTCTCCTCGTCTGGTACAGTTTACCATTGAACCAAACAAGCCGTACGACATTCGACAACTCATTGATAGCCGAGATTCGGAGCAAATTCGTGGAATATGCGACTCGAATTCCTTCGATGAAATCATGAACGAATGGGCGAAAACCATTATCGGTTGATCAAGTTACAACAACTTCTCTTAGCTGGAATTATCTAAGTATTGCTTTATGTTTCAGCTGGTCGTGCGCGGATTTGTGGCATCTCTATCGGGGTTGTATCTTCCGAACTCAGAAATGTGATGTCCATCAATCCGGCCGATCCTGCCTCACCTAACAGTCAGTCTGTTGAAGTACACCAGGCTGGCCAAGTCTGGTACCCCGACTCTGCATTGAAAACTGCGGAAGTAATAGGAGACTTCAATCGTGAGGGTCTCCCACTCCTATTCATCGCTTCCCTTCGGGGCTTTTCCGGTGGACAACGAGGTACACTGAACTTGAATATGCCCTTGTTTTGTTACTTTTCCACATTTGTTCCAGATATGTTCGAGATGGTACTAAAATTTGGTGCCCATATTGTGGACGCACTTCGACAGTATCGAAGACCTGTGATTATATACATACCGTGCCAGGGAGAGCTTCGTGGAGGGGCATGGGTTGTGCTTGACAGCAAAATTAACCCTGGATTCATTAGTATGGTCGCGGATAGAGATTCACGGGGAGGTATCCAAAAAATATATTTCACGATTATGCGTTTATAGCAAGTAGTAGATGACATGAAAGAAACAGTATATAAATAATTGTAAATAACACAAAAATATACCCTGTTTGAGCCTATTCCCTGTAAGAGTCGAAGAATTTTTATGAGTTGTTCGCAGAGGTGTTCGGAAGTGCGAGCCTGAGTGAGCGCATACCATGGAACAGTAAGGAGTCTACTTGAGATTGTCAAATTCATCCGTACATCACAAAAACAGTTCGACTTTATTTCAAAAAGGACGACAATGGTTGCCATCTTAATAGTAGGAAATGTGGTGGGAAGGAAGTCGTACCTATAATAGACGTCAACAGAAAAGAATCGAGAATATACCTTTCGGAATGTTTTCTCTTCTAGGCTAACAGCATCGCACTGCTAGCGAACAGTATCCTTCCAGAAGAAGCTGGAAAAAAAGGCAAAACGTGCTGACGGATAATCTTTCAACTTTACGTATAGAGAACCATTCTTTGGCTTCGGAAGTTTGAGGGGCCGATCGTAGATTGTCAGTGAGAGAGTTAGGGAGAGGGAAGTTATACGAGCATGATGAGGAAATCAGAAAATGGAAAGGAAAGTGCAGAAATCATGCGGAGGTTACTTCACTTTGTGGATATGTGAATGTTTGTGTACCTGCAGTTTGATGCGACTGCGTCGAGCAGAAAACGAAGCCTGTAAAACACTGCAAATAGACCCCTCTACGTGAAGAAAGTATTGGAGTTTGAAGCTTAAAGGCACCGTCCACGATAAAAATGGTTACTGAGTTCTTCCCTAGGAATACCTAGTGGCCCTCAAGGGTGATAGAAAGGACCCTCTTGCGCCCAAAAACTCAGCATAGTGGGAGCCCCGTTACCAGATCGCCCTGACGTCCCTCGACCGATGTCACTTCAGCCGAGTGTCGAGGCGATACAAATTGCAGTTATTCGGTTTAGAACTCCCACACAACCAGCTGATCGCCGAGTGATGACGCGATGTTATCCTCCTATTCTTTTGTTCCCTGTTATTCTTTTTGCTGCTGCAATCCCTAATTAATAAGGTTCTCCAGAAAGTTTCCGCCTTTTCTGAACCCCCTAGGTTTATCGACTGTTGTATAAAAGATGAAAGGCCCAGTCTAATAAAGTTATATATTATCTGGAAGGGTACACCCTTCCCTATATTTCTGTAGGGATTTTATTAGCATGCTTCAGTGTCTGTCTGTATAGGACTTGTGCGAAAAATGAGGAACATCTCGTGTAATTTCGGCCTCTGATGTTTTTCTTCTACCGCAAGGGCAAGAACGCGGCTCAAGCCGTGAGGAAGACTTGTGACGTTTAAGTAGACAATGCTCTAGTGGAACGTACAGTACATAAGTAATTTGCGAAATTCGAAAAGTAATTGCGCTCTCGAATATCGTTAACGCTTACGGCGGCTATCACCAGGTGAAACTGACCACATCGAAATGTTAATCGAAACGAATCGTCTCACCACTACCCGTGAAATAGGAGAAAGAATCGGTGTTTTGTAACCAACCATCCAAGATCATTTGTTGGGATTCGGTTTTGTTAAGCGCCTTGATGTTTGGGTACCTCACGGACTAGGCGAGCGTAATGTGATAGACCGCGCCTCCGTGTGCGACTCATTGCTCAAATAAAACGAAGGGGAGCTGTTACTGAAACGAAGGGGAGCTGTTACTGAAAAAGGGAGACGGATAGTGGGTCGTGTATAATAACATGGAGCGGAAACGACCGTGAAGCCTTGCCAGTGAGCGGTAAGGAACCACTCAGAAAGTTGAAACCCAGATGCGAAAGATCATGTTGTGTTGCAGGTGGGATCGAAAGAGTAGCATTTATTATGTGCTGTTTTCGCACAATCAACCGATGCCATCGGAAAGGTGTTGTACCCAGCTATACAGTTCGAAGGCAGCGATAGACCAGAAGCACCCAAAGCTGGCCAATCGTAAGGGCGTTGTCTTCCAACAGGGTAACTCTAGACTCCTTTTTCACTAAAAGATGACTGAAAAATCGGCGGATACTTTCTGACGACCCAATACTTTTGCACCTAAAGAGGCTGAAAGGGGTGGGCTATTTTTGTTGTTTCTAAGATTCTTTTGTTAACCTATGCTTATGAGTGATCGAATTTTCGCTCACCGTAGTCAGCGCCAGGGCCAGGTCACGCACGCACTGACTTACATTGTATAACTCGTCCAAACGCCCCTAAACTAGCAAGGAATACGGAACAACGACTGCTCGGCATCAATTCTACAAAAAATGAGGTTCGCCCATACCCTCGGGGCTGCCTCTCTTCTCGTGGCAAAGTCGTGAATCTTGTTGGACCTTTCTCCTTTTGCACAAACGATTCATAATTTCGAGCCCAAAGTTTTTGAAGTGCCCGTAATATTGCGGATGCTGCAACTTTAGTGACTGCTATTGATTTTTTTCTTGCCTCTGATTTTAATGGTAGTCATCAGTCAAGGATTGGATCTTGATTCCCTCGTGTCGGTTGGCTCATCGCCACTAATTTGGTTAGTTGACCGAAGGCTTGAATGGTAGTTACCAAATGTGGCCTACTGATGATAACAACAGCATCGACAGTGATATGGTTCCTGTCCATGACCTACCTATTAGGTTGTAAGGAAAGTTCTAGCCGTTTTGACAGCTAACTTTTGAAAAATTATAACTCATCTCGAAGTGAACATTTTTATTCCAAATAAGCCCCATTCGATTCCACACATTTTCGCCAACGTGATACAAGTCTTTTATCCCATTCTTATAAAAGTCCGGAGATCTAGTTTCCAAGATCTCGAGAAAGGCAGCTTCCACGTGGCCTTGATTTTTGAA